TTATTTCTAAGAAATCCTTTAGTAAGGACCTTAGCCTTATTATCTAATAAAAGGACTTTATTTCCTCCTATTAAGGCATAGGTATTATTAAAATAAGATTAGGATAGTATATTTACCCTAATTTAGGTATATAAAAGCAGTCTTAAAGGATATACCTTTTTACTATACGGAACTTAAATACTAAGTCCCCTTTCTTTTACTAATATAAAGGAAGCTTTTCCCTAGTAAACTTTAGACTTAATTTCTTTATAGTTAATAAGGAAATTCTTATTAGATACTATATGCCTAGTAGCTCCGGTATTATAGATAAAATCAAAGATCCTTTTATTCTTATAACTAAGAAATCCTCCTTCTCTTACCTTTAAGACTAATTCCTTTATTCTAGGAATTAAGGCTTCTAGAGGTCCTAAAAGAGAGTCTTTATTAGCTTCTACTATAGGGGTATTTATAGAGGTTAAAATTACCTCTAAATCCTTAGACGTTTATATAGGGTCGGAGCCTAGAAAGGTCTATAAGGTCGATATCTAGGTCTATATTTTCTTATAAAGCTATATTTAAGACCTTATTACTATCTTCCGAATCGGACTCTAGCTTAGTAATTCGAGCCTTCCTTCTTTTATTAGTAGTAGAAATACTACTAGAAGGGGATTTCTTCTTAGAAGAAGAAGAAGAAGAAGATTTTCTCTTCTTAGAAATTCGAGTCCTATTATCCCTTTTTCCTTTATTTAATACCTAATAAGCGGGAGCCTTATTTAGGTATAATTTATAGTAATTTACTATAAAATGCCCTGGTTTTTTACATTCCTTATAATAAGGAGTATCTATAGAATTTCTATGGGATTTCTAAGGCTTCCTTCGTATTAGGAAGGCTTTCTCCGAAGATTTATCTATATCCTCTATTCTTCTAGCTTCGTCTAAAAGACTAGCTGTTAGGGATTCGAGGGTAAACGCCGTAGAATTATACCTAAGGCTCTGCGTAATATTTATAGTATAGCTTCTAAATTCCTTATTAAGGCAATTAAGAATCCATACTATAAGGATAACTTCTAGAATTTCTATATTATAGGATTTTAAATCCTCGTAGATTTCTTTTACCTTATAAAGGTATTTCTTTAAATTAGAGCCCGAGGGACTAAGATTAAAGAGCTGCTTTATAAGTAAATAATTCGACGAGAAATTCGACGGATTATATAGCTTTATAAGCTTATCCTAAGTAGCTTTAGCATTTATTAAATGCTTAATTTATATTAAAGGGCTATCTTTAACTTAAAGAAAAATCTAGGATAAAGCTTCTATAGTCTTTATATAATTTTCTTGCTCTAAGGTAGCGATAAGCCTTTCCTTAGTAAGGATAGCTCTTATCCTTATAGTCTAAAGAGTATAATTTAAATTTCCCTTAAGTCTAGAGAATTTATATTCTTTCTATCTACCTATTTTATATAAATTCGGTATTATTTCGTTTATAGGGATCGAGAAGTCTAGGCGGGAGTTTAAGAGCGTAGGAAGGTAGAAAAAGTCGTTAGGGGGATTTTCGAAAGGAACTTTAATCGGGTATTTCGACAAGGAATTTCAAAGGTATAAGTAGTTGATTTCCCGGCTTAAAAGGAGCAAGCCGGGCTTATAACCTCTTAAGGTATATAAAGCGGAATTTTAGAAATCAAGGAATTACGTAAGACTACGTAATGAGGGAAGAAGGAGTATAAGGTAGGACTTTTAACGGAATTTATTAGTAGTATATTAGTATATAGAAGAGGTGTTAAAGTTAATAATTCTCTATCTATTTACTAGCGGACATGCTGTCTTATATAGATAATTGTAGCTGAACGGAAGAACCTTTCGGGACTAGATTTAGGCTGCCGTATAGCCCTAAGACTGGGAAATTCCGTGATACCTCGAGTAAATCTAGAAGTATCTTGGTTCTACTAATATTCGTGTTTAAAGGAGGTTGGTCGTGCCGGTGTTCTTAAGAGGTCTTAGCTAGCATTCTAAGCTAGCTCTATTCCTTCGATTCCTGATTATACGATAACCGGCAACCCGTTTAATATATAATAACATGTAAAATAACGAGCAATTCTTGCCCTATAGGATAAGATTTTGTCTATAATTAATATACTACTTATTAGCTTATATAATCGGGAGAGTATATTATAGCTGCTTTATTTATAGTAGGAACACCGTTCCTTATAAATACTAAAGTTATAGATAAGCTAAACTAGCTTCCCTTAAAGCTCGTTCTATTTATCTAGCTCTAACGGACTATCCTTCTCCTTAGCTTTTATAGTATATAGTACGCTTAGTACCTATAGTCTCCCCTATTAATATAGATGCCCTTATAGGTCGATATAGTAGTTAGCTACCTATACTTTTAACTTTAGCTTTAAATCTAAGCGTTAAGCGCTAGACTTTATAGCGCGGTATATACCCTTATAGGTATAGTCTAGAGCCGCTATCTTATCTTATAAGCGTTAAAGGGCCTTATCTTAAAATACTCTTACCGCGCGCGCCCTTAGGCCGGTCTATCCCTCCTTATTAAACTAAGGTAAAGGTATAGGGGAAAGCTTATTTAGTAGTAAAAGTATAAGGGAAAGCTTATTTACTAGTACCGCGCCTTCCTTTACTAAGGAAGCTCTTATATAAGTCTATAGCGCTTCTTATAAGATAAGCTATAGATCCTAGGCCTCGATATCCGCTCTTATCGGCCGGTCTTAATCCCTTTAAGAAAGCGCGTCTAAGACTATAGAGTCCCGCTTAAAGCGGTACTTAATTAAGAAGTTAAAGTATAAGAGATACTCCGCTTAGCGGGCTTACCGCTTTAAGAGGTACTAGTAGGTTATAAAGTACTTAAGGTTCTTATAGTTTATAAGAACCTTAAAGCTCTTATAGCTCTAGAGCTCTACTTACTATTACTTAAGGTAGCTAATAATCGCTAGTATCTCTTTATTATTATAAGGAACGGTATTCCTACTATAAATAAAGCAGCTATAATATACTCTCCCGATTATATAAGCTAATAAGTAGTATGTTAATTATAGATAAAATCTTATCTTATAGAGTAAGAATCGCTCGTTATTTTATATATTATTATATATTAAACGGGTTACCGGTTATTATATAATTAGGAATCGAAGGAATAGAGCTAGCTTAGAATACTAGCTAAGACCTCTTAAGAATACTAGTATAACTAACCTCCTTTAAACATAAATATTAGTAGAACTAAGACACTTCTAGATTTACTCGAGGTATTACGGAATTCCTTAGTCTTAGGGCTATACGGTAGCCTAAATCTGGTCCCGAAAGGTTCTTCCGTTTAGCTATAATTATCTAAAGATAGTATGTCCGCTAGTAGATAAATAGAGAATTATTAACTTTAACACCTCTTATATATACTAATATATTACTAATAAATTCTATTAAAAATCCTACCTTATACTCCTTCTTCCCCTTTATTATATAGTCTTACGTAATTCCTTAATTTCCTAAAATTCCGCTTTTACTTATATACCTTAAGAATTATAAATAGCGTAATTCTACTTTACTAAGGTTAGCTTATAAGAGTAGAACGCTATTAATAACTTCTACTTATCTACCTTTTAAGAAAGCGTTCCTTTAAGTACCTAGCTACTATAGTTTACTTTAACTAATATAAACTAGTTAAAGTCCTACTAAAGTAGTACTAGGGCTTATAAGAATAGGTCCTTAAGCGTATAAAACGCTCGTTCTTATATAGGCCCTTAACGAAAAGCGGTCTATTTCTTAGTAATCTCGTTTAAAAGCATTATAATATAAGAGAAGCCCTTAATAAATATCCTATAATAGTTCGCGAACCTAAGGAAGCTCTATATACCTATTTATATAGTTAGGGCCGCTTAGTCCTAGATCGCTTAGATCTTTATAAGATCCGCTTATATACTTATACTTATATAAATAATAAAGCTTAGGTACTTAACCCTCTTAACCTTAAATTTATACTTATTTAAGTTAAGGTAGAGCTTATAAAGTTAGAGGCGCTTTAAGACCCTCTATACTTTCTATATATAGTCCTTATAAGAGCCGCTTATATAGATAAGGATATTATTTATATATATAAAAGCGAACTTATTAAGGAAGTTTTAAAGTATATTATTAATATAATACTAAAAGGTAATAGGCGCTCTTAAGAGGCTAAAGGGCGTTATAAGCTACTTAAATAAGCTATAGCGTATATAGAACGCTATCTTTTACTTATTACCCTCTAAGATCTATACCTTATAAAATACTTATTTTATATCTAGCTTTATAAACTACTTTACCTTTAAGAGGTTATAGAGCGTATCTAAGATTAAGGGTAAGGGGTAGCGGTCTAGCCTTATAATTACGTTTAGAGCCCTATAGTTATAATAGAACTGTCACGACCCTGGGCGCCGGCGTAGAGAGCCAGCGCAGAACCTCACCAGTGTCACGTGCCCAAGCAGCATCACGTGCCCACGCGCGACCTCGTGTCTATATAAGGGCCCGCTCGGTCGTGTAGTCTAGTCTTCCTTTCTTGCTCCTTAGCTTTGAGTCTTTGTTCATAGTGCCAATACATCTTTATAGCCGTCAAGGCTCGTATGTGCCTGGCCGTAACACTACTCAAAGCTCAATAAGATCGCTTGCCAGCGATTAAGCAAATAGGCACCGAGCTTTCACGTCACACGCGCCTGACGTAAATCCAGCGCATCCGTTCTGACCGTTCCGACCAAGACTCCGACCACCGACCAAGTGATCCTCAAGGCTGAGATCACGTCCGTTCCGACCAAGACTACGCGTGTGTAGCCGTCCGACCAACCGTTCCGACCAAGGGATTCGTCCCGTCTGACCTCCGACCGTCCCTGCTCGTGCAGGCATCTGACCGTGATTCCGCGTGGTATCATTTCCGACACCTATCACCTCGCGACTATGATATCCGAGGAAGCCCTGCCTCTGATCAGCCTCGCCGTTCCCCCCGGCTTGCTGGCCAAGCCACTGAATCCGAAATAGTAGCCATGGCTGCCCCGAGCCCCCAAGACGCTCTCATCCGCGAGATGAGGGAACAGATTGCGGCCTTAACGGCCCGTCTAAATGAACGCTCTCTGTCTGTTGAATCAAATCGACAGCACCGGGAGCCCTCGACTGCTTTTGCCGGCCCAAATGGCCCGGCCTTCCGACCAACAGGCAAAGCTGCCTGGCCTGTTTTTGCCCCCTTCCCAGAGGGCAAGAACCCCGAGTACAGCGACGCCGCCAAATCGCGCATCAAGGCCTCCGCGACGTTCTCAGGAAAGAAGGACGAGTTCCATTCCTTCATCCTGAGCATAAAGAACAAATTTGACGAAGACGTACGAACCTTCCGGACTGAGAACAGCCGGATGGTCTGTCTGTATAACCTGCTCGGGAAAAGCCCGCCGAGCACTTGAAACCCGCTTCTCCTCTGACACTCGACCCTTCTCTGGAGTGGCAGAGATGATCCAAGCCCTCGAGTCCGCCTATGGCAATCCGAATGAGCTTTCCGAGGCTCTTGACCGCCTGCAACGCCTCCAGTTTACCGTGAATGGGAAGACCGACATTGTGGACTTCCTTGCGGAATTTGACTACTTAACTGCGACCGGTCGTGTGCCCGAGGACCAGATGAAGCATACCTTGTGGCAGCACATCCCGGCCAACCTAGATAACAGCCTCTTGACCAAGACCCGTGACGAGTCCGTGACCTACGAGGTTTTCTGTGGGTTCATTAAGGACGCTGTCCACTGCCAGAAGAGGAGTATGAGGCAGACACAGGACTCCCGCTCTTCCGACCGATCTCGCCGCGCGCCGACTAAGACTGCTCCGACTACCGCCAAGACTCCGAACAAGACCGGCTCGACCCTATCACCTCGCGTGATGCTGGCAGAGCCTTGACCGACGATGAGAAAAGGGTCCATTGGGATAATGGCACCTGCTTTATTTGTGGAAAAACAGGGCACCTCTCTCGCGACTGTCCCGACCGCACCCATGCTGTCTCCCGTGTCGCCTCCGTCCCTGTCCCTGCCAACGACTCTGATCAAGATTCGGAAACGAATAGGACCATCACAAGACTCCTTGATGGTCCCTAAGGTGTCACAGATAGCGAGTAGGTCTAGCAAGTCATTCACTCTGCCAAGTCAAGTCCAAGTGGATGGTGTGAGCTACCTGCCCGCTCCTCTGTGATACCGGAGCCGAAACCCGTTTGCTGGTTAGCCCAACCTTCGCCCAGTCCGCCGCCCAAAGACTCGGAGCCCAGATTAAGGAGCTCCCGAGTCGGATTCCTCCAAGACTTCCGTGAAAGCCAGCCGGCTATATCCAGAAACAGCTGGTCGCCACTTTCGTCATCGATGGCCGTTCGTTCGCAAACGAGACATTTGATATAGCTGAGTGTGGCCATGATATCTTTATCGGTCTTTTCTGGAAGCGGAGAAGCGCCTCCTGCTTGACTGCGCCTCCCGACAGATCATCTGGCCAGATGATCTTCCTGCCCTCGCCAAGTTCTCCCCGACGATCCAGCTCTCGTCAAGCCCCGCTCTCGGGTCGGATCGACCCTAAGATCCAGGCCGACGCTGAGAGGCGGAACCGCCTGCTCGAGAAAGAGGAGAAACGCTACCGGATCCTCCACAAGAACTGGCGCCGCTCTGATCAAGCTCCTCCGGCCTCTGTCCCGACCCCGTTACCGACTCCGTCTCCGTCGTTTCAGTCCAAGTCTCCGTCTGCCAAGAAGTCTGTCCGTTTTCAGCTCACGACCGCCCCTGCTACCGACTTCGTCTCCGTCGCCTCGGTCCAAGCCTCCGAAGATCAAGCCCTGATTAACGCCCTGGTCTGCCAAGTAGAGTCTCACGAGAGATTCGAACAGTGGAACGAACTCGAACCGTTGATGCCCGGGATCCAGTCCAGCTCGAGCCAAGCTCCGGCCTTGACCAGACCGTCCCTAGTGCTCGAACCGTTGCTAAAGTCTCCCGGATCAGAAGACCTACCAGGGACAAAGCATTCCGTTCCTCAGGAGAAGACCCTGAGCATGTTGCTTGTGTCCGTAGTCGTCTACCGCCCCAGCTCACCCATCTAGAGGGATTCTTCTCGAAGAAAGAGGCCCACACCCTACCTTCGAGCCGACCCGGTCACGATGTAGTCCTAGAGCTTGAGAAGCCTCTTTCGCCGACAGGACCCCCATCGTACCGCACGCCCGTTAAGTATCTGCCTCTAGAGAAAGAGACTGTCGATCACCTCCGGAGATAGACTTCATCGAGCCCGATCCGAGTCCGCACGCCGCTTCTGTCCTCTTCGCTCCGAACCCGAACACGCCCGCCCGCCGCTTCTGCATCGACTACCGTTGGATGAACGATCATCTTAAAAGTCGCATCACGCCCGCTCCGTCCCTCGAAGGTACTTGCTGGTTGCCGTGAAGCTCAACGCTTCACGAAGATCGATGTGATCCAGGCCTTCCACCGTCTCCGCATGGACCCTGACTCCGAGTATTTGACCGCCTTTCGCACCCGTTTCGGAACTTTCCGCTGGAAAGTCCTCCCGTTCGGTCTGAAGGTAGGTCCCGCCTGGTTCCAGCAGTTTATCAACGCGCAGCTTCACGATCTCCTCGACCGGTGCGCCAGCGCCTACGCAGATGACGTCCTGATCTACTCGGATAAAGAAGAAGACCACTGGAAAGACTGTCAAGAAGTGATCTGGCGACTCCATCAGGCCAACCTCCAGGAGACATCAAGAAGTCTAGATTTAACGTGACCAAGGTTGACTACCTCGGCGTTCTGCTTGAAGCCGGTGTGGGCCTTAGTGTCGACCCTCGGAAAGTTCGATCGATACAAGACTGGAAGTTTGAAGACCTCCGAGACCGCACCGCGATCCGATCATTCGTTGGCCTATGCAACTTCATCCGTGTTTTCTGCTACCACGCCTCCGGAGTGGCAGAACCCTGAACCGGTTGCTTAAGAAGGATGTTGCCTTTGTGATGGGCCCGGAGCAACGCGAAGCATTTGATCAACTCAAGCGCCTGGCTATCGAAGCCCCGGTCCTCGCCTTCTTTAGACCAGAACTGCCGACCCGACTGGAGACCGATGCCTCCCGGAATGCCACAGCTGGTGTTCTATGGCAGGAACAGCCTGATCAGACCTGGAAGCCCGTTGGATTCTTCTCTAAGACCATGACCCCGGCCGAGCGAGCCTACCCAATCCAAGATCGAGAGCTCCTCGCCGTCGTACAGAGTCTAGAGCACTTCTACCCAGAGCTCTTAGGCCAGAAGTTCGATGTGATCACCGATCACGAAGCCTTAGTCCATTTCTCTACGAAGCGCCTGCTCTCGGTACGACAGATCAGATGGTCCGACTTTCTCGCCCAGTTCGACATCCAGCAAGGTGATCAAGCTGCTCCAACGAGACTTCTACTGGCCAAGGATGAAGGAGGATATCCGTCGTTATATTCGGAACTGCCACGACTGCCGCCGCAACAAAACCCTCGAGACAAGACCCTGGACTGCTCCATCCACTGCCCGTACCGACCTCTGTTTGGGAGCACGTCGAATGTGACGGGAAGGATATGCCGAAAGACCGTTACGGATATGACTATGTTTGGACCTTCGTCTGCAAGCTAAGCCGGATTATCGCCACGCTCCCAGGAAAGAAAACGATACGGCAGAAGTCTTAGCTAGCCGCTACTTCCGCTACCTCTATCGTTTCTTCGGTATGCCCTCGTATGGATTTCTGACAACGCTGGACAGTTTATTTCTGCCTTCCTCGCAGAGATTAACCGGCTCACGGGAACGAAGCATCGTCATGGAAGCTCCCTACACCCTCAGACCCAAGGGGTGTAGAAGTTACAAATCAATACCTAGATCAAAAGCTACGATTCTACGTGACGAAGCATCAAGATAACTGGAGTTCCCTGCTGCCCGCCCTCGACTTCGCCCATAACTCGTCTTGGCACTCTTCCATCGACATGGCACCGTTAAAAGTAGCCCTAGGCCGAGATATCCGGAACCCCCTGTCACTGCCCCCGACTGACAAGACCGCTGCCACCGGACCCGCCGCCAGAGCTAGGGAACTTGTGCAGACCGCCCAGGAAACCCAGGAAGACGCCAGGAATGCTGCCACCGCCGCTCAAGAACGTCAGAAGGAACAGGCTAATAGGAAACGACGACCAACCGACTTTGCCATCGGTGACCGAGTTTTTCTCAGCAGGAAAGGCTTCGCCACGAACGCTCCGACTACTCGGCTAGATAACCAATGGTCAGGTCCGTTCGTAATCCTGGAAGAACGCGGTCATAGCTACGTACTGCAGCTGCCCGAGTCGTACAAAATGAAGAACCTATTCCACGCCGACCGTCTTCGAAAAGCAGCCGATAACCCTTGCCCCAGCAGATCCAGTCACCTCCGCCACCCGAGGAGATCAACGGAGAACCCGAGTGGAGGTTGATCAAGTCCAGCAGTCTCGAGTAACCGGTAGGAGTCGACGACTGGAATACCAGGTCTTATGGAAGGGATGTGACCTGATGAGACCTGGTACCCGGCTAGGAATTTCCGTAACGCACCAATGGCATTGAAGATTTTCCACGATGAACATCCGGACGCAGCAGGCCCACCCGTCAACCTGCAATACTGGATCGAATGTGCTGCAGCGGAGGAGGGCTGCGAGGAACGAGACGATGACGACACAGCAGAGAAAGCCGTGAAACCAAGAACCCGCCGCCACGACTGACTACCTTGATACGCATATCAAGGCCTTAGACGGGGGGTAGTGTCACGACCCTGGGCGCCGGCGTAGAGAGCCAGCGCAGAACCTCACCAGTGTCACGTGCCCAAGCAGCATCACGTGCCCACGCGCGACCTCGTGTCTATATAAGGGCCCGCTCGGTCGTGTAGTCTAGTCTTCCTTTCTTGCTCCTTAGCTTTGAGTCTTTGTTCATAGTGCCAATACATCTTTATAGCCGTCAAGGCTCGTATGTGCCTGGCCGTAACAAGAACTATATCCCGCCCCTTAGTTTATATATAAATAAGACTAGCGCTCTTACTTTAAAGCTACTTACTTAAATAAAACCCTTATTTAAGAGGTCCCTTAGCGTCTTCTTTAGTATTAGTAGCTCTATATATAATATACTATATAGCGGTCTAAATAGTATAGGTAGTTTTACCTCTTCTTATTAATATAAAGTACGATCTTATAGTTTACCCTAGCTTATATAAGTTGTTTATCTACTTCCTAGGACTTAAATAGTAATAGGAGGTTATAAAAGCGCTTTAGTATCTACTACTATAGCTTAAAGGGCGACTTTAGCTTCTTTATTTAAAGGGCCTTATTAATATCTACTAGGCTAACTACGTAGACTATAGTATTAGCCGCTGCCTAGCCTTACCCCCGCTCTACCTATTATATAGTTCCTATAAAGATAGAGGTAAGGACTTTTTATATTAAGTATAAAGCTCGTACGCTTAGTCTTATACTTATAAAACTATCGTTATAGCGGATCTACTATTATATAGGCCTAAACTATAGCTTCCTTTAGTATAGAACTAAGTATAACTTTATATATAATAACTAGGGTTTCCTAAGGATTAAGGGAAACTCTAGTTAGTAGATTATATAAGCTATAATAAGCTTATAGTAACCGTCGACCTTTATAGCTAGCTATATAATGCCCTTAATTACTATACCCTCTATTATACCTAAGGCGCCCTTTACTTACCTTAAAGCGATCTTTTTTACTAGTACTTATATCTCTTATATAAGCGCTTTATTAACTAGGGCGTAGTACTAGTAGCCTATATCTATAAGGGCAGTAATAAGTAAGGAGTTATTAATTATAACCTATATTAAAGTAGGCTCCTTTTTCATATAAGCGGATAATTCTTTCTTTTGGGGTAGTCGATAGCGTCTTCTTATTACGTTTAGCCTAGTCTATATAGGTAGCTAATATTAAGGTATCCTTATTTATATCGATAGCTAGTTATTTATCTTATAAAGGAGCGGTAATCCTATCGCTACTATATAGCGTGCGCTTATAGAGCTTCTAGAAACGCAGCGTTTACTTATAGCCTTATACTACCTTTATTAACTAGCTTATATACTCGCTATAGTTAGTAGGTATAATTATAAGGATAAGTAGCTCTTATAGGGCTAGCGTAATCGAATTTTATAGCTATATAAGCTTCGCGCTATCTTCTTATACTATAGTCCCCGCTACCTATAAGAGTATCTCTTTAAAATTAAGAAGGAATTTACTAAAGGTTTATTTATCTCTCTACTTAAGGGTCTATAGCCTATCTTATGCCTTCTCCCGCTCTTATACGTTGCCGAACGTATATATAAGGTATTAAAAGAAGTCTTATAGGTCGCGTTTACCCCTAGAGTAGGTAGAAGCGTACGCGTAGGTACTATTTATAGGATAATATTAATAAGCTATATAGAGCTCTTTTATACGTAGCTAGCCTATATATATATATATAGGATCTAGCCCTTTATATATAACTATAAAGCTTAGGCTATAGCCTAAGCCTATAATCTATAATAGTTAAAGACTCTTATAAAAACGCTAAAATAAGTCCTTAATAAGGTATCTTATAGCTAAATAAAACGAGTATATAGCTATTATTAAATAAGATAATACTAAAATAAATTTATAGCGTGTTTTTTATTACTCTTATACTCCTATTACTATTATATTAAAGTTTCCTAGCTAGATTTACTAGAAAGTATAATAGAATTTCTCTTTAAGTACTAATCGTAACGTAAAGCTATATTATAAATCTAAACCTAAAGCTACTCTTTTTATATACTATAGCCCTTTACTAAATTAAACGAGCCGCTTATAAGTAAAGTAGTTATAGATATTATAAGGAAGAAAAGGAATAATAAGAGGGCTTATACTAGCTACTTATCGTAATTATCTACGTAAGATAGTATCGCTAGCTATCCTATTACCTAGAATATATTAAGAAATCGCTAATTATACTAAAAGGTATAATATAAGCGGTATTAAAAAGAAGGTAAAGATATTCTAGGATCTTTAAGCTATTTAACGTTATACTTAATCTTAAACTCTAGAAATACTTTTCCTTTTACTATTTAATCTTAAATTAAACTATATAGATAGTTTACTAAGTCTAGAGAAACTTAATATAGTAGGGAACTTAGGCATGGTTAATATAGTATACTATCTTACTTACGCGCGTACTTAGGTTAGTTATCTTATATAGTTTCTTAATATATAGAACTTATTATACCTATTAGTAAAGTATTTAGCCGAAACTAGATATATATTAGCTAGCCCTTTATATAATTTCTTACTTAATAAGGTATATTTTAGCGTATTATAGTTAGATAGGTATAAGAATATACCCTTATATCCCTATTTTACTATTATAAAGAAATAATAGGCATAGGGAGGCTTTATAGAATAAGCTAGTAAAAGAGGCTCTATAATATAGTCTAAGGGAATAACCCTTAAAAGACAAAGACCTCTACTAGATATCTATATCTTCCTCTAGGAAAAGGGTTAGATAAGCCTATCCTTACGAACAAAAATATGCATAAAATGCATAAGCTAATTACGAGCAGAACGGATACCCTATTGCCTATTTTAGCCTAGCGGTTCCGAAGATATCCGCGATACGAGAATAGGTAGGGCATAGAATATTCTAGTTAAATCCACTACTTATACTAGAACCCATAGTCTTACGTCAACCATCACGCTATAATTAGACTACCTACTAAGTTAGGAAGATATACTATAGATAGAGCTTTTTAATCACTATAGAATATGCTAGAAAGCTAACTAATTAGTCTACTAGTAGGCGAGCAATGGTCTATAAAAGACGAAGGATTTCCCTAGGAGTAGTAGATAGAATAAGTAAGTTTGCAAGCATCTTTTACAACGCTATTCTTTTAATATATTATTCAGCCCCTTATATGCTCGTTATAAATTCCGGACGAAATCCTACCCTATACTCCTTCGACCGATCCTTCCGCTTACGTTATCGATTACCCGATTCTACGCTTATTGCTTATACCTTCTTATAATAGGCTCGATTGCCTTTATAGGATAGAGAAAGTTAATCGTAGAAGCGTTATTAAGGATACCCTAGGTAGCTTTATAGAAACGAGAGTCCTATACTAGGAAGCTTAGATACCGCGACTACTTAACTACCTATATATCTCTCTTATAAGGTAGATAGAAGGAGCGGCCGGGGGTAAGAGTAGTAATAGATACTAATATATCTATAGTAACTTAACTTAAGTAGCTAATAGAGCGAACTATAGCTAACCTAAAGATCTTTAGAGCCTACTCCGTTCCTATTTAGTAAGTAAATAGGTTAGGATAGGAATAGGTCGTAAGCGTATAAAGGTAAGCGAGGTAAAGCTTACTTTTTACTTTACTATTATCCTTTTATTAATAGAGTAGATTATTAATAAAATAGGCCTATACTTAATAAGCGGTACTATATATTTCTAAAGTATCTATATATACGCTAAAAGTCTTATACTATTTTATCTAATATTAGATATTAGCTTATAGTATAATAACCCTTCTATACTATATATTATTAACGTCTTATAAGATAAGCTTACTTTTAAAACCTATAAGTATCTTAAAAGACT